AAAAAGGGGGCATCGAAATTTTCGGGGGTCCCCGGTTCAAGCTTCTACCTCACAATTATCTCGTAAATTAGTATAATACCAAATTGCGGCTGTTTTAAAAACCTAGGTAATAGTTAATCAGTTTCGAAGAAACTGAAATCTACGTGTTAGTTACATTTGTATCTAGAAAAGTCGTTTGTGTGGATCAAACGCCGAGATGTGACCAAAAAATGTATTGAAATTGGCGTAAGACTATTGAAAATAACAGAAAAAAAAATAAATAAACACTAAGCTCGGGTTGAAAAATGATATATTGTCAAGCAAAACATTCGCTAAACATGACATATGAATATTTTGACCACTTTATTTTGTAACATTGGAATATTCATGTTAATCAAAATACAGAAACAAAATATGATGGCATTTTTGTACGTCTACGTTATCATCCTATGACTGATGAGATAATTTTATTTAAAATATTTCCTCTATTGTTATAACTGTTATGTTAATACGGCAAAGTCTTCAGACTCAATATATGAATGCCTTTGCCCCACGTCTGCCCATTTCCAAAACTTGAGAGAGTTGTCAGTGAGGATTCTATATACCCTTATTTAGCAACATTGGTACTTCTGAATGTTGTACTGAGGATATTATTAGGACGTATAATCTTCCCCAAATCGGATTATTCAGGCATCTTGTTAATCAGGAAGCATGGGAGATTTTCGAGAGGAAGTCAAAAGGTTACAAGTACAAATGTTGGTGCAATGCAGCAATTGAGAAGCTCCGCGCAAAACAAAAATGCACTTGCCAAATCATACCTTCACACAGGAAATTTTCTATTTCATGATTCCGGATGTTTTATTAATCATATTAATCTGCATAATTATACTTATCGTATACACTGCTCATATGAGCGGTGCCAAATATTTAATAACAATAATATGCTTTCATTAATGCCTACCTGGTAAGGAAAGTAATTCCAATAGAAACAAGACTTTCAAAAAATATGATAAACAAGATCAACAAGGAAAGGCGGCATTCAATGTGCATGACAGTTGCGAAACATTGTTCTGTTTGTGTCACTAGTCAGTAATAAATTTAAAGATGATAATAAAATATCAAATTATTTACATTTTCTTGTTCACCTAAACTGCTACTTATTTCCTACAAATATCAACAACTTATCATGGTAGGAAATATAAAAATCAATATGTAAATAAGTCAAAACAAAAAACCCTTCATCGACGTTTTTTCATAATGTCCGTTACATGTTTCATGGCAAATGGTATCATGATATAATAAAGGGAGACAAATCGAGTACACTCATATGACGACGGGAGACTACGCGTTAGTTTTCCTTACATAAGTTCACATCTAGCTGTATTTGTATCTGATCAGTAAAATGTTTTGCAGTTCATTTCGCCTGACTAGTTATTTAAAAACAAAATTACTAAATCAGTTTCAGGCTGAAAACTAAAACTACTTTTATAAACAGATTTTGGGATTTCCACAATGTTAAGGTAATATATTTATAGCTTTTGAATGCATGCAACAAGTCTTGCGCAGCAATAAAAAAACATACATAACATAGTGCTTAGTACACAGAATAAGCAATTTCTTGTAGAAGATATAAATTACGTATGAGATAATTATGTGAAAAATTAATTACAAAATTTAAGTTTATTTTTGTTTTGTCTTTTACACTGCCTTCCCAGCGGTTAAGGCGTGAAAATTGTTCCCGTTCTCATTCATTACTATGACATACGAATCACCGAAATGAAAACCAATGTATGACTTTACATAATAAAATTCGGACGGAATTTTTGGTTCCGAATTTATTTTTAGCTGTTAATCGAAGGGATTAATTGATCAAAATAGCGATCATTGACAAAAAGAAATTGTAAACCAAATTACCTTCGCAACTGTGCTAGAAGATATACACAATTATGTTTAAACGGGCATTGTACCTATAATTAAATTTAAAAAAAAAGAAATAATAAGAAACTGGTATTCCCTTGCTGTAGTGAGAATGTTAAAAATATACCTTTCAAAAGGAAATAAAGTGCTGCAAGTAGAAACTCCTGTCCTAGATATGGTTGAAGACAGCATCCGTACCAGGAATACCCAAGGTACAATTTATGATCACGTGTCATCAGTCAGGCTCTTATAGAGTTGGGAACACAGAGTTCAGGGCAAAAAGATGTTAAATAGCAAAAGTAACCTCGGTTCAACTTAGATTAATTACAACATTTTTAAAGATCCTGCGACTTTACAAACTTCTACAGGATTGCAAATTTTGAAAAATTGCTTTTCAAAAAGCAATGCCTATTTACATATAATTTTTTCTCAGGAGCAACAGGTTACTATTGAGAGTGATGTCAATCGTTATATGAAAAAGTTTTTTTCCTCCTTTCCTGTTAGAGCTTGTTTTTCAAAAAAAAATATTGTGCGAATACCAAATTGTAAATTTCGAACAATAGTAAATATATAAAAATTGCTAAAACATTATGTTGTTTAAATTCAGGATTTGGAATCTTTAATTTCTTTAATTATTAAAGCTTTTTATGCTCTTTTAGAGTTTTAACTTTATCATTGTTTGAGGGTTTTAAAAAAGAAGAATTGATCTGGTGATTTGATAATAATGCTACAAAAACTAGATAGTCAATAAGTCTATAAATGTTTATTTTATGTGTCGAACAGATCCATCTCTTTTAGGATAGGGTTGAGAAGTTTTGTTTTTGAATAAGTCGACACAAGGTCGCCTCTATTTTGGAGAATCTTTAAGTCACATTTTCAAAATTGTCAGCAATATATTTTTCTTTTCAGTCTTCATTTTTCAATTGAATTGATGTTAACAAAGTGATAGTGTTACAACAGTAACGTATATATTATTAGTATGGCTTCTTTATGTTATAACAGGTTGTCAAGCACTATTTTGCTATGGATGGTGCTTAGATATACATATTTTTATTTCTGGAATATATATATTGGAAATGATATTACTATATCAGATTGCTATTTTTGTCTTATTGTACTGAATGGATGCTTAATGCTTTAGTTTTTAAAATGATGTGCAAACATTTCTTTCCTTCTGATATATTGATTTGTTTGCACTAGAATTAATAAGCAATTAAGTTTATTGATTTTCTTTGTGCATTGGATCCGGAACCATGTGTTATTTTTAATGATGTTTTACATCTTCACGACAGCATTTCTTGCCATGTATTTTCTCGCCAATGTTATTGACAAGGTTATTTACAAAGTTATTGAAGCTAAGGTTGAGAAAAATATTTCACTCAGTCAAAAATACATTGTAGAGACTGACGTTCTGGTTGGTTCAAATCAAATGACACTACAATGTATTGTGAAGATTAATCTGAAAATGACCTTACTGTGTGTAAAAACACAGCTTCATAATTACACGATGCCTTTTTTATATAACCAACATACTAATTGTATTTATTTTGATAAGAGTGATTTTATATAAATTATACATTAAGTTGATCAACAGTTAAGACTGATCTTTTTAACAAGCAGGTGGTATGTTCGCAAAACTAAATCCCTTAATCCTTAAAGCATGACATTATATTTTGACCAATGACTCCATTTGTGTCGATTAAGTACATATATTTGTTTACACAACAGTGGGTTAACATATTCTTGTTGTTTTATTAATTTTGAACCGAGTAGTTAATGTCGCAGACGTCAAACCATATGCTCATCACCGCTGTGGGTTCGGATACCGACATGAACTTTTGATTCTTTTATGAGAGGGAGCTATCCTGCTAGCCTACGGAACGTCGGTGGTTCTACTCTGGCGTCTATAATAATGTACGGTAGGCACTTGATGTCTTCCTCCACCACTATAGCTTAAACGTCACCATATAATCTTAACTGTGCCGGTGCGTTGTAAAACTTACCCAAAACAGAAATAGAAATAAAAAAATGACAAAAATAAATAAAGAAATGTATAAATAAATAAACTTAAAAAAAGAAATGAAAAAAAAGAAAGAAAATAAAAGGAAAATCCAAATACAAACAAACTTATTTTGAAAACAATTAATGTGTGTATATTCAAAACTCCTATCTCTGTCCAATGGGGTCATTAACCGGACACGGTTTTGATCATTTAAGCTGGTTCGGCTGTTTTGTGACTGCATGTACATAAACCGTCAATGAATAAGTAGCCGATGCTATAAGAGTTGATCCATCACTTTAATGTAGTTTAACGCCAAAAGCCTAAAAAGCGACATGTTTAGTTATGGAGGCCAGAAGTATAGATAGTGATGCCAACAATTACTTTAATTAGTTAGTAATAATATACGCATTTATACAAACAAAAGATATAACCATACACATATTTCATTTGGGTAGTTTTTATCATTCAAATATTTCTTCACATGTCAATTCTTTGTCTTCTTCAACTCCACGAAGATATCGACAGTGTTTCAAATAATCCCATGCGTCGTCATTACTAACCTCGTCATTATACTTGTCATCAAGCTGCAAACTTAACCGCCTTAAGTCTTTTTCCAATGGCATTGCCATTTCCTTCAACTTCTGTGCTCTTTGCCGATCTGCCATATATTTCATGTGGAAGATTGCTGACACTACAGTAAATGCCGCTCTGTGACTTCTTGCTTTTGTTTGCGTTTCGGTTGGCTGCTTTTCGACTGTTTTAGTTGTTTCGGAAAACGGAAATGGTATAACTTCCGGTTTCGTGTCTTTTACGACTTGATCTTTTGCAAAAATGCTGGATGACTGTTTTTTCCCTCGTTCATCTCCGTTGTATATAAAACATGCAGCATTCGCGTGCCTCTTCTCCGTTATCTCTTCCTGTTTCATCCTTAAAATAGATAAACACTATTCTTGTTGTTTTATTTATTTTGAGTGCGGAGTGGTTAAGGTAGTTGACTTTAAACCATTTGCTCATCACCACTGTGGGTTCGCATACCCAAAGGGACTTTGGATTCTTTCATGGGAGGAAGCTATCAAGCTAACTTACGGAACGTGCATGACATAAAATACAGAAGGACACCTGATGTCTAACTACCAAAATTGCTTGGAAGTCGTTATTTTATCGCTATTGTGTTGGTGTTCATAGCATAAACCCCAACAAAAACCCTCTTCATGTTTCACCCTTAATGTTCAAATAAAAAAGCAACCAAATACGAAAAGGTTTAAAGAAAACATTAAACACATTTTTTTTCCTGTTATTGTCGAACTATTTTGACAATTTAAAAATTTACCTTAAGTATTCTCTCCTCGAACCAACATCACTGGGGTTGTGTTTTTTCATCATTCTACAACCGAGTTGAAATTTTAAGTTTAAATGTGAAAAATTGTACTTCCAAAACACACTTCAAAAAAAGCAATGTGTGTCCTATATCTTAAATCTTATTGATACCCTTTTAAATGAAAAGGTAAGAAATTTTGCGTCTATATTTGTAACAGTGTGCGTTATTTTGCATTGTTATAGCTTAAACAGCATGACATGTAAACATAAATTAATCCGATTTAAATAAAATCAGGTGTAATCTCTTGAAAGAATATCCGATAAATGTTTTACAAGGTGTAAACATTTCTCTGTTAGCAACTTTTAAATAAGGCTGATAAGTTTCAGTTTCAAAGTTTATATCAAATTCCAGTAACCAGAAAAGCCCATGAGGATATACATATCATATGAGTATATGTCATGGTTATAGAAATATAAAAAATACGTTTAAGTCAATTCAATGTTCTTCATAAAAATGAGGTGTTTTCGTGCCAATTGAAATCGCAGACATTAGGTCAGCAGGTATGTTATACTTCATTTGAAATCGTTTAACATGCACAGTCGCTAGTTTTCGCCTGAAGTATTCATTCAATGTGTGTCTATCATAACAGCTTAAGCCTACTTCACATTACAAGTGTGAATCGACCGCGACAGAGGCATCGGTTTGACTCCGTATATAATTTGAGATTTTGACTTTCAGCGGCTGGAAACTTTTAATGATTTAACAATTTCAGCTCGGTACCATATCGTAAACCTAATTGGAGTGTTATTTGACGCAGCCATTATAAATACGAAAATGACGATGGACAATCAACGGCTATGTGTAAAATGCGTGTAGTAGCGTTTTGTCTGATTAATGTACCTGAGAAAATACACCCGCTGCATTGATTGTTTGTGAGATATTATACTATAGAATCATGTTTTCTATTTATTATTCTTTATTATCATAAGCGATTTATAACTCAGTGCAACACATTTCCGATTGGTAAATGTATGACTTACGTATGCAATGGAACATAGTTGCCGAATCATGAAAAAGGAAAACCTAGCCTTGTCAGTAAGATAAGAAGTGTTATTATGAATTGCGGAATGTACACCAGACTGATCAGTTGGCATTTTTATAGGAATTTAAGGGAAAAAGTATTCTTTACTTTTAGTTGTTTTATGCTTGGTTTTTAGGCCGATGGTAAAGTATATTTTAACATATCTATAAATACAGGTTAGAGTTTAGTTGTTTAGTATAAATCATAGCCTTGTGGACTTCTACAAAAGTGATACAAATCATGCCACTTAGATTAAAAAAACTTATTTAAATGTATGTCTTCTTGTGTCCAGATTTCAGTTATTTGGCATGTAACATCAACTACCCGACAATACTTTCAAAATCATTGCCATTTTCGTAAATATAATGGTTCTGCCCGATTAGTAGAAGGCGGAGGGGGGGGGATGAGGTGACACTTCAGTTATAAATTTATATATATAATATTTATATAATATTGATGTTATTAATGTAAATGGAGGTAATAAAAAGAAAATTATTTTTAAACATGGAATTTTGTTGTTTTTTATACGCCCATAGGCCTTCGGGTCGTATATAGGTATTGTCGGTTCGTCAGTCCGCGCGCATCTAACTGTAAACATAACATACGAGTAGTTCATTCTGTCACGATAAGCTAAATTTTAAGGACAATTGGCCCTCGATTAAGCAAAATAAATTATTTGTTTCCGTAGAATAAAATTTGAAGGATTTCACAAGCATGTAACTATGTTATATCAAAACACCGGTCAAGGTCGATTTTGGCTGCAATCCACTCTTTAGTTATATATGCCCCTTTCTAAGATTTTTTAAGTGAAATAATTGGTTTAAGCAGAATAACTTTTGAAGCATTTTGAATGATTATGTTTATATTTAACATGCGAGTATGTTATATAACAACACAAGTTAAGTTTAATTTTCATAACAATCAACTCAACATTGAAAGTGTTATGCCCCCTTTTCAGACATTTTTCTGTGAAATTATTGGTTTCCACAGAGTAACTTTAAAAACGATTTAAATGTGGCATGTTAGGCATGCAAGTATGTAATAACTACTGGTGAAATTTGATTTTCTCTGTAATCAGCTTTATGCAACCTTTTTTTCTATTCAAAATATAATCAATTCAGAAGTTAAATCATCTTCTATTAAAGAAAATAAGATTGTAAATTTTCCTTTTACATTAGATGGAAAATTCATAATCTGAGCCATTAAGCAATTTCAACTTCACGAAGTTGAAATGGTGAACCTGAATTTGTGAAGTTGAAATCTTGACATCTTATGGTTGAAATTGTGACTTCATGACTTTGAAATCTTTAACTCATGAAGCTGAAATTGTGAATCTGTGAAGTTAAAATCGTGAATTTGTGAAGTAGAAATCATGAATTCGTGAAGATGAACCCGATAATTCAAGAAGTTGAAATGTCATCACCGGTCTGGTAAAACACAGATACCGAAAGCAAATTACCGATATACACGTAAGCTTTTATGCGGGCTCTGGCTTTAAACGCCTCCTTGTGCTTATGCAGATGATAATACACGATTAACATGTGCATTTACCCTCAATTAAGACTTTTTTGTTAAAAAGATGATGAAGCAAGTTAAAGTTGTAAAACTGTTTAGAAAAGAAAAGCATCTATGTATATTCGACATAAATATTACGGACAAGATACTGTCTGATATGTCAAGATATGACACAAAAGTGTTGAAATTAAGATCAGCGTTACAAAATATGAAACCAATTTGCAATGTTAAGTTGATGATAATGAAAATGTCAATAAATAGATTACATGTAAATGATGAAAAACCTTTTTTACATTAAAGAATAAAACACTTTAAACATTTCACAAGAGTAAGCGCATAATAGCCTAAATGATAAACTAAATACAAAGTTTCCTTTTCAATCCATTTCAAGAACCAATTCCCTTTTATTCACTGTTGGTATAAATTGACTTATAAAATAAATAATAAAATTTTGATTGATTTCTGTTGTTTTTCATCCATCTTAGCTACTTTATTTCAGAGAAAATGTCGAGCTATTATGATCGCTGCAGAGTCGTCTTGGTCGTTCTCCTGCAAACCCTTTAATGTAGCTCATTACTTAAACAAGTTTAAAAGTATCAATATGGAACCTGTAATGCATGCTTATCATGGCAAGAGGTGTTTCAGTTTAACCTCAGTTTATTTTAGTTACGCCCCTTTTTATTTTGAGTTTTGTCGAAATTGACTATTATCAAGTAGAATAAGTTCATAATTTTGAAACATATCAACATGGAATACTTGTTCATCGTGAGAAGGTACAGTTGTTAGGCAAGCAAGGGATATTAATCTTAAAGCTATATGTTTCTTTTTAACTTAGACTTTTTGTAAAAATTGCTCATTAAGTTGAATGATTCCAAAACTGCAAAAGATATAAATGCTTAACTCGGAGTATTTAATGATCATTTCAAGGCAGACTTGTAAATCAAACGGCATTTTATCGTGAAAGCAATATATCAATTTTGTACACATTACCTACTTTTATCTGTTTTCGAAATCGGACAGTCGGCTTAACGATGAACGTCTCTATTCAGACAGTTTGTTAAGTATTCTCTTTAATTAACATGGTCGACAAACTCTGCTCAGTTGACAAGAAATGATTACTCAGGTTCTCTGCTAAATCCGCTGTATAATCCAGACTTTAATCTAAATCTGCTCTCTAATTCAGACCGTGGGCTAAATGTACTCTAATTCAAACGGACGATGTGTTTTCACTAATGTAAATTGTCTACTACATATGCTCTCTTATTCTGAATCGTTGGCTAAGATAAACAGCTTTCTAATCAAATGCAATTGTTGGTATTCCAGACATTTTCTCTACTTTTAAATCTGTACCGATGGTTAAATGAAAATAGAAGGATGATTATATATTTCATGATTTCAACGCTACATTTGCTGATTGGGAAACGCCACCACAACTACATTTAAAACACAAATTTATCAACTTTAAGTTTCTTGGAAACTTTAATTCAATCTACATGATTTAACATCCTTCGAATTTCGATATTTGATGTAAACTTTGAAAAATATATAAACAATGACAACACTTTACCTTTGTTAACATCTGAATTTAGCGACATGCACTAGCTAGGAAGTTTCGATAGAGCGATTTACCGTATACGTCCGAAAGAGGCAGCTCTTTTGATTACCATGCGAGTAGACATGTCCTTTAGTTCAGACTACAAAATAAAAATCTGTCCAATACAAACCGTTGGTTAGATGTGCTCTTTAATCCAGATTGCTCCTCAATTAGTAATGCATACCTAATACTAGTATTGTTATTACTTCATGCTGTCGTCTAGATATGCTCTCTTATTCACACATTCATGAAGATACGTTTTCTAAATAGATTGTCGGCTTAAACAGTTTTGTAATCAAAGTTCGACTGTTCGAATCCCAACAGGGACTGTGGATTCTGTCATGTGTTTGAGATAAAATGAGCCGTGTCACGACAAAACCGACATAATGGGTTTGCGACCAGTATGGATCCAGACCAGCCTGCGCATCCGCGCTGTCTGATTAGGATCCATGCTGTTCACTTACCAACCCTATTACATGTAGAGAAACTGATAGCGAACAGCATGGATCCTGGTCAAACTGCGCGGATGCGCAGGCTGGTCTGGATCCATGCTGATCGTAAACCCATTATGTTGGTTTTGTCAGGCGCGGCTCAAATATGAAAGGTTTTCTCCGCCAATTAAGCTGGGAGTTTGCCAAATAATCTTTACTGTGTTAGTGTTCCGTAAATGTCAATCATAAATAAATCATCAATAAATGATATAAATAAGCAATTAAAATGAATAACCTCTTTTTTCACGAAAGAAGTACGTTTCCGTTTTCATTAAAAAAAATATCAATAATTATATAGTAACATGAAAAATAACAAATAAATTCATATAATATTATCATTAAATTTCATAGAAGCATGTAAACAATAAATCATGTGCTATAATAACAGGAAACATAGATCTTTCAATGCCTTTTATAACATGTTTTCAAACTATGCATTATAAAACTTCTAAAGGTATCCTTTTTAAACAAAAAAAAATTAAGAAGAAGATATCATCGTCGCTTACCCACGGTATAAATATTCCGTACATACTACGGTATTTAGATAAATTTACGTCTAAATTATGATATAAAATAATAACCTCGTAGTTATGTACGGAATATATATCATGGCTAACCGACGATGGAAGAAATGGGCACTGGGGCAATAACTATCTTAATAACCAATAGGGGATGACAAAATATTACAATAAAAAACATAATAAAGTAAGTATAACATATAAAGTTGGCGACATTTTCTGTATTGTGATAATAAATAAGTATGACCAGAAACATATATACACTTAGCAATATTGGAAAGTATTTTTCTACACCAATAAAATAACAGAAAAAAAACGATAACTACATAATCATGAAATTGAAAAGAATGTGAGGTCTCCCTTTGATAATTATCTATGCATTATATTATTATTGAAAACGATCTGCCATGTTTTACTTAGAACGTATAAGATTCAAAATATCTCAAAGAGATAAATCAACCAAAAATGTCTTCAATCGACAGCTCCTGGTCTTCTTTTGTTCCTCTTAAATAGCGGCAGTTATTTAGGTATGATAATGGGCCGTCGTTTTCGTCATTTTCATCACTATCGGAATCGAGTTCATTCAATTTATTTTTGTCATCTAAAGTAGTTTTCGGATTTCTACGAAGTTGTTTAATGGACTTAGCTCTTTTTGACGCGATGATTTTCATATGGACCATCGCTGATAGCGTGCATAGCTTAGCACCGTGTTTATGTCCAATATTATCCTTTGCGTCTATAGCTTTTACGTTACTGTCGCGTCTCTTTGAGGCACCATTTGTACTTTCGACAAACGGAAATGACGTCACTTCTGGCTCCTCTTGCTGTTCCTTCATTACAACTTCCGGTAAAACTACACTTGTTCTTCGACTGGCTGTCTCTTCGGGTATAGAATGCATTGAAGACGCTTGTCTGTTTATAACTGACATTTCAGATTTCATCCTGCGAATAAATTACAGGAGAGGTTATTCATATGACAGCAAAATCTGGGAACGGGGAAGTTAGATAAACAAATTGAAAACTTGAAGGACTTGACTCGGACATGACTCGGACAATTTTTTCTGAAGGTATCTCAGAACTTGTCGCAAGTTTTGGACACTGTTCTCCGAGTTTATTCCGATTTTCTAATATTTTCAAATAATGCTTTTGAAGAAACAAACAAACAACACCAACTTACTAGAAAAGCAGAACTTTTGTAACTTAAACAAGGAATTATAGCGCTAGCGAGTTAGCCTCATTTACAAAGAGGTTATCTAAATGCAATTTCTAACTTGATAAAATTCTAATATAATATAAAACACTTCTTTTGGATCACATGAACAAGAGGTTAATCATAAACGCCTTGCATTCAACAACTAAAAATTGGCACAGTATGTACATCCCATTTGTGGTTGAAACAGTTCAAGAAAATCATTTTATCAAGGAATAATCTCGATTGCTAACATTCATAATTGTTCAAGATAACCTATCGATAAGGTAAACCCCCCTCCCCTCCAAAATCCCCACCCCCCCCAAAAAAAAAATGCTAACACGATAAAGAAGAATAGCATGACTCGACCAACGTCTTTATTATTATATTAAAATGTCAAACAAATAGTGGATATCAGGTCTAAAAAAGGCAAAATAAATAAATAAATAAAAGATAGAAAAAATTAAAAGACCCTTTTATTTCAATGTCGTATTTTTATAACTACAATAAAGTTTTAGACTAGCGTTGTTACAGCATGAAAAGAACCAATATGCTCAACAAATGTTATTTTTTTATTTATCAAAAGCTTTTAAAGATCGTGTGATTTAATATATGTACGAGAAATTTTATATAATTTATTATGTATATAATTATCCTTCTAAAACAGTTTCCAAACTTCCAAGAATATGTCAAATATGCACTGCAAATGTTTTTCGCATTATAAGCAATCATTTCTATATATTTCTTTTTAAAAGATTGGGTTAAGACTCTTTCGAAAATAAATTTCTAATTACCTCCCTCTATTTTCATAAAATGTAAATTCGGTAATATCTTGACAAATAATGCTTTTTGGAACATACAATATTGATAAATCTTCATTTGAACATAATATTTATGACTTAAAAACCATAAAAAATGAGTAACAGGATCTTTAATTTTTAGTTTCTAAAAAGTTACTCCTTAAACATTTGCCTTAATCATCTTTTTCTTCTTTCGCTTTTTGGAAATAAGAACAATGAAAGTGATTTTGTATTTTGCATGGAAGCTAAAAGGTTATTTTGATAACATCCGAAGTCAACGGATTTTTTTAAATACTCATTTGAACAAGAATGCTGAGAAAAATTATGTTCACGTTTTTACATTACTCGAATGACAACGTTTAAAGTCTGTAAAATAAAGATGACTTTGAATTATCTACCTTAGATATTCCATTCTCGTGCTTTTATTCGAGGCTTTCGTCTTTATAAGCTCTTTTGTCACGTCCGGTTTTGCACCAAAAAAATCGTCATCCGCCATTTTTAAATGTATTTTTTAAATTATATTTCCGTTAAGTTTATTAAAAATCCTTTTAAATATTGGTGTAGAATAATCACATTATTGCAAGTGATGAATTTATTATGTCTGTCTTTACGCCTGTACGTCCAAGTCTGTTGTAATATTATACTTGTTTTTTTGTTTTTTTCTTAAACTTCTAGGAGTATCCTTCGCTAAATCTACTTTAAAACATTAATCTCCGGTCACTGATTTAAATATTTTTAATAAGAGGATTAAAATTATTTGCTAGGTTAATTGATTTAATCACTTCTTTTTTCTATTCATACAACCAATGTCATTTTAAATCATTCAGTACAATATTAATCGTGTTTGGCAGAATGATATGTAATACTTTAAGAAGGCGATATATGGGGGTCGATGAATTCAGGTTTTAAATAACACTCCTCATTAATTATATCCGTCAATTATGAAATTAAATCCGTCATAACAATAAAATAAATTCTTTAAAAAATGAATTAATACTTTGTCATCGTCGGTTCAGAGATTAAGCAAATGTTTAGCTACAAACAATATTTGAAAGGTAAACACCTTCTCTATATATTTCTTATCCAATGAATAAAGTTGTAAAGTCATCTTAAAGGCCCATTATGTCTAATAAGTGTTTTATTTTCGGTATCTTGTTACAGTTACTAAAATACTCTTTTTCCACAAAGATGAACTATCGTTTACTTCTCTTGATATGTTGGCTATAAGTAAAATTATTGTGAATTAGTATTTTGTATGGAAGTCAAAATACTACTTCGTTTACATTTTGCTACCTGTACGACACATTACTGCACATTTTGCGCTACTTTTTTCAGTTCTTAAACAATAAAATGCTTTTATGTTAAAAATATCATTGAATGCATGTTTTAAATTTCTAACGAGTTTAAATGAAAATGAGGCATAAAATGTGCCTTTAACATAATATATGAACTCGCATAACATGATGGCGTCATTTAAGATATCGCAGCGAGCGGCCTCCAGGAAAGGTCTTAATGGTAAGGTGTCTGCTTCTCAGTCAGGCGGTTGTAGGTTCGAGTTCCAATGATGTCACAACCATGTTTCCCCTTTTGTCACCAGTACTTAGTTCGAGGATACGGATTCGAAGGTTATCATAAAAAAAATTTAAAACGGACATTCCACAAACATGTTAATGTAGATCTTTAGTGAAGAATGTATTTAGATAAATGGATAAATCATTGACCATATATCAAGATTTTTAATTTACAATCAAGATTGATTATAATTGACAAAATATAATAAAGCAACATGGCGTACATACGGGGACGTAAATTTTGATTGCGTGTACTTGTTTACTATATTAAATAAAAACAGTTCAATAAACTATATTTTGTCTTTGAAATGAACATTATTGCGTCGTAATCCAAGGCAGAATATGGATATGAAAATAAAGGGGACATCATCAATATCGTCATAAACTAACGTTATATTTCACGTGTTGTCTTCCCTTCAATAGAGCTACATTACATTTGTATTGGACGAAATAGGACACCGTAATACAGTCATGTATGCTTTTATCACGTGATGTCGCTTATTTACATCACGTATTCTTTATCACATTTTTTATCATTTGAGAAAAGGTTATTTTAAAACCATTGTAATAATCAATCGCGAATAAGTACAATTTGACCTTTAAATGTGACCTTGACCCTGGGGTCGCGACCTCATTATTGTGATTTGTTTATAGTGTCATATTATTTAATAATATCATTTTAAATGATAATATACTTTTTGTGACTTAACATATTTTCAACATTTTACAAATGTTAACATGTGTGTGCATTCTTATCTTATATCCTTCCCATGTATAAAGAGGACCTCTCTGTGCTGAAATATGTATACTTTAGACTTCAGGTTTGAATCATGAATATTTGGACTGTAGAAATACATATTTCATACAGATAACGCTGCCCATGGGGGCAAGATCATATCATTTATGCAGCACAATATCACGTTTTGTTCTCCATTCTTTGTTCTTATCTTTCACAGACAACTTACTACGTTCGTCGATTAAAATATAAAGCTCAGTATTGACGTGATATTCTTGTACGATAATTACACTTCAAAGAGTTGATATGTATAAACTTCTTGCGTTGACGTTTCTGGCAGCCATTGGTGAGTTGTTCATGTCAATATATTTATTTTTTCATAATTGATTTATTCATTTATTTATTTATTTAAAAATACCAGGCATCGTACTTGGGTAGTTTAGTAACACGTTATGTGAATAAGGGTTTGTCCTTTTATATGATCAATTTGTGCTAGCCCACCAGCATTTTTTCTTTCACATTTCTTTCGCTTTAAATTTCTACAATTTCGAGGCCAACTGCTTCCTGTTGTATCATCTACGGAAGGTCTTTCGCAACCAGTTAATTAAGCCAAGTCTACTATCTTGAAAATATTGGCCAGACATAAAATTATGTAAAAGATATTCATAACACAGTTTTTAACATTAAATTGTTCTTACGTAGTCTTTTCTGACGCCGAAAGTTTAAAGTAATAAAGAAATAAATGACGAAACATGGCGTTCGTTATCCGACAAATTTTTCCCCAGGTTTACTAGTAAACAGTCATTCTTGAGATTCTGCACTGAAACAAATTGTTACTCGGTTTCGCACTAAGTTGCAAGCCATGGCTAATATTTATGTATGTGTTTTTAATTATACAAAATTTTAAGTAAAACAGGAAACCTTTTTTTTCAATGAGTTTATAAGGAGAAAATACCGTACGGTTTTCAGAGGATTCTGTTTTTCAGAGTTTTCACTGTATATTGTACGGTAATATTGTGGTTGATGCTCTATGTAATAACTGTTATGATGCTTTGACAACCACTGAGGGCACCATGATACCGTTGAAATCTTTAACTCTAAGGGAAAATATCAAGCTGTTCTTATCAATATTTTGTTTTGTTTTTATACTCAAATATATCAAACTAATACCAAGAGTTACGGGAAGTTTCTATAAATTAATTGTAGCATTATAATTCCAGCCATTGTTCTGAGCTACAAGTGTCACGTGACAGATGGGGATGGACAAATACATTGTGGAGATATAAACAACATGACCTGCAAAGATGTCAACTATACCCCTTTCTGTCTCCAAATTGACGATAACCCGAATGTGAACATGAATGGCGTCTGTTCTTGTCAAGAGTGTATGTTTCAAATTAATTATTTATTAACTACTTCTTTATATTTGAATCTAAGCATGCATTTGTATATCTCAAACAATATATCTTTCAGAATTATACCCCTTGTCTCACATGATAAGCAAGTATTCCAAATTTCATGTTGATATCTTTGAAACATGTTTGAAAAATGGGCTAAATGAAAGTGTTTGCACGACGACAACTACGGAAATGACGATGCAGCGAGGATCATACATGGAATAGCCCGCCAATTTCTTTGAATTAGATGATCTAAAATGGCTGTCGTTATAGTCATGAATATCCGGCAGTATAGTAACTGTTAAGCAGACACTCGAGAAACCTATGAATACAACGTACACAGAATGACTAGTTACACGGTGCATATCCATATCGGTACCCTCTTTGCGAAATCTGCTCAAACGGTACCCTTTTTGAACATGCACAGGTTATTCTCTGCTTAAACCAAACCAGCGATGGATAACAATCCTGTAAAATTTCATTGTAGTAAGGAAAGGAGGTATGACACGTAGAAAAGATGTATACCACGGAACACTATAATGTTCCATTTATGTGCTGATTTGTCATGTGCCCGTTTTTCATGTACTGCAACTTCACAATAAGCTTCAAAATATCGACATGTCTTGCCTCACCCATCATCTCGAGATATTTTTCGGGCTGAAATGAACCTATGGCTTGATTAAATATGAATCATACATATTTAATATGTTCATATACATATCATCTTCGGACAAATGGCAGTATATTGTCAAAAATAAATGAAAAATTCATAAAAACACCCTACTTTCGGTTTTGCAGCGGCACGGGCTACCTCTCTTCATTTGAATTTTTATATCACAGGTACCCTCTCATTTTTGAACAAATAGGTACCCTCAAAGCACGACATATGCTTTTATTTGCGTGAATCGTTAAGTATGCATGTAATATTTATTACTTTTATGTAAATATTACACACTTAGCGATTAACGCACATAAAAGCATATGTCGTGCTTTGAGGGTATCTATGAAGAGAGGTAGCCCGTGCCGCTGCAAAACCGAAAGTAGGGTGTTTTTATGAATTTTTCATTTATTTTTGACAATATACTGCCATTTGTCCGATGATGATATGTATATGAACATATTAAATATGTATGATGCATATATAATCAAGCCATAGGTTCATTTCAGCCCGAAAAAATATCTCGAGGTGATGGGCGAGGCAAGACATGTCGATTTTTTGTAGCTTATTGTGAAGTTGCAGTACATGAAAAACGGGCACATGACAAATCAGCACATAAATAAAAAATTATAGTGTTCCGTGGTATACATCATTTCTACGTGTCATACCTCCTTTCCTTATAACAATGAAATTTTACTGGATTGTTATCCATCGCTGGTTTGTTTTTAGCAGAGAATGACCTGTGCATGTTCAAAGAGGGTACCGTTTGAGCAGATTTCGCAAAGAGGGTACCGATATGGATATGCACCGTGAGTTGAATTAAAATAAATAAATAGTTGAAGAGTCCTATTGTAAAAATAGTTTCCATCGCCGTATATGTTTAGATTGGAACTATATTTTTGACATAATACTAATGTATAACTACGCTATTTTATTACATTTCAGTCTGTATAACTACAGACGATTGCAGCAGAGGTTGTGGGTCGTCAGGACGTTATATCCCAAAATGTGTGGAAGCATACCATCTCAGTATAGAAAGATTCTGTGTTTGCATCAGAAGGTAGCCCTAAACAAAACGATATTTTTATTAAAGGGACTCTACCGAGGTTAAAAAGCCTAAAACATGACAATTGAATTTCTTACATAAATGAGCTTGGGGACTTTAAACAGAAATATATGCAAAGATAGTTAAGAAATATACTTTGAAATAAATTGAAAATCGTATGTTTATGCTTTCCTTTAGCCCGAATTTGAAATGACAAGTTTGCGGTTTTTTTACAGTTTGAATTTAATTTTTCAAAAAATCGAAATGGGTACATTATCTGGAAAACAATTCAGTTCCATCATGTCAAAAAAACAAACTCAGTGGAGTCCCTTTAATACATGTACATTACTTTTATATGAAAGAAGTACAAATACTATGGATTTGACACAGTACTAGCATATAAGATGGTTAATTAACGCTTCGTCAAGATATATGTAGTAATGTAAACGGAAATATCATGACCCCAGGGGCTCAACCTGGGAGGGGGGGGGTGCTTTCCCCTTTTAAGGGAAATAATCGAGGCTGTAAGGGCCTAAACTTTGCGCTGTATAGAACGAAAAGTGAACGCACCCAAAACCCCATACATTTCCCTACAACCATTTTTCCCAACTAAAACTTTTTTAAATTATTCGCTTGTAAAAGAAATAAGAAGTTTGATTAAGTATAAATTTTAATCATCATTTAATGATACTTTTCAATTAATAGTTTTTTCCCTTTAAATCAGAAGTTTCATGTAATACCGATTTTTAAGAAAAACCCCCCCCCCCCCAACATCATAAGACCAATCAGACAAAAATTTGGGAAAAATTTAAATTGATTTTGACACGCAAAAACGTTCCCGAAAAAAATGTTAACGACCCAAAGTATTCAGTATTTTTTTTATCGTAAATTGAAAAGAATGGGGGTTTATCACATAAAAAGAGGGATTTTAAAAATTTAAAAATTTTATGTCAAAAAAACGTTGTTAATTTTCGGGTCTCGGGGCATTTTATAAAAGGGGAAAAGGGGGGAGGGTGAAAGTTTTGGGGTGGAGTTTTTTTAAGTTTACCCCGGGAAAAAAAGGTTTTTTTTCAAGAAGGTCCAAAAGGACTCCCCCAAATTACTTTTAAATTTTAAAAACCTATAAACAAAAACATGTATGTCCATACCCAAGACAAACTTTGTTTTAACCCTTGTACTCTATTACCTTTGACCCATTCCACTATAAGTCTCAGATCTCGGATCAGATCCTCAGAAACACCGAAAACAAGAACATAATATGAAAATTGTTTATACATGAACTCAGTGTAACCACGATCATCAATTAATCTTATTATTTTACCCTTTATTTCAGGTCAAACTGAAGGCGAAACGAGCATATGAGAATAATTTCTGATACAAATTTGACAAAACTTGAATAAATATACCCAAGTAGTGTGCTGCTGTTTTTTTTAAATCTTTTTGTCAGATTTGATTTATTTCATTATATTTTTAACGTTGCATGTGCATATGAGTACCCTCTTTGCGAAATCTGCTAAAACGCTACTCTCTTTGCGAAATTTAATATATCGGTACCTTCTTTGCGAAATCTGATAAAACAGTACCTTTTTGCAAAATCTGCTAAAGCGATTCTTTCTTTGCAACATTAACTAAAACGGTACCCTCTTTGCACATCCACAGATCATCCTGAAAACAAGTATTATGTGATGAAATGACTTTTAAAGTATAATTTTATTTATTAAAGACGAAATCTAGTTGTATAATTATGAACTTCATACTTTCAGAAAACATTCAATAAGGCGGGTTAAACTACCTTACTTATCTTGCAAAATATTTGATTGGATTTATCAAAAACGAGATTAAACCTTGAATTTTCCACGATTCGCGGGAAATCACACAGTCATAATGACTGGAAGCGAAGCATCAGTGTTGATAAAATGTGGGTTGAGTAGGCGAGGTGGAATGTGACAGTGCTTTTTTGCTTTTTGCAATATTCTTCAGGGGCGAATAATCTATATAGCCTTAAGAAAACGTAATGTTCTAGTTCTCTCCCCTGGCCACAATCGATGACGAATGGCTCTTATAGCGATGAAAAATTTCATTTCGATCTATCATATCACCCATATTTTTTTTGTGTGTGCAATATTCCCCAGGGGAAAGTAATCTATAAAGACTTAAGAAAACGTTATGTTCTAGTTCTCTCTCTTGGCCACAATCAATGATGAATGGCTCTTATAGCGATGAAAAATTTCATTTCGATCTATCATATCACCCATTCAATAATTTGTGTGCAATATTCTCCAGGGGAGAGTAATCTATATAGACGTAAGAAAGCGTAATGTTCTAGTTCTCTCCCCTGGCCACAATCGATGATGAATGGCTCTTATAGCGATGAAAAATGTCATTTCGATCTATCATATCACCCATTCAATAATTTGTGTGCAATATTCTCCAGGGGAGAGTAATCTATATAGACGTAAGAAAGCGTAATGTTCTAGTTCTCTCCCCTGGCCGCAATCATCTCGGAGTTATAATGCATAACGAAGAAAAATTTCATTTTGATCTATCAAATCACCCAGTGCAATATTCCCCAGGGGAGAGTAATCTATAAAGACTTAAGAAAACGTAATGTTCTAGTTCTCTCCCCTGGCCGCAATCATCTCGGAGTAATAGTGCATAACGAAGAAAAATTTCATTTTGATCTATCAAATCACCCAGTGCAATATTCCCCAGGGGAGAATAATCTATAAAGACTTTAGAAAACGTAATGATCTAGTTCTCTGGCCTGGCCGCACGCTCTCGGAGCGATAAAATGTCGGTTCGGTTAAATACAAAAATAGACATGTCTCTCATAGACTCATGGTTATATTGCATATAAGCAACCCGAGAAACTTGCTCCGCCCTGGGTTATATTTCATTTGTCAGGTTGCTAATATGCACTTTTACCCTGAAAGACATGTGTTATTGTTTATAATTGTTACTTAGGTAAATAAGTTTTTAAAATCATTTTATCATCATCATCAGTTGGAACTAACAAATAACATGTGACAATCCCCTTCCGCCGGGTTTAAACGATATATAAAATGAATAAAATTGACATTAACTTAAAGGCACATTATGCCTCAAAAATGAATAAATATTTACTTTTTGATTTAATACCGTTTAAATAATGAATTTAGAGCATGTATACACGTTCTGAACTGTAGAAATACCTGTACGTGCTAAATGTGAAAAGATATGTCATAAAAGTAGCAAAATGTAAGCAAAATAGTACTGTGACTTCCATTCAAGATACTAAATCACTTTAAATGTACTAATTGCCAAAAGCAACAGAAGAAGATGACACTTCAGGTAATTGGCCAATGAGTAACGTTTCTGAAACTTTAAAATACATAAAATAAAATAGTAATTAGAAATAAAATTGAAAGTATTTCTTGGGCATAGTGGGCCTTTAATACAAACAAACAAAGGTATATAGTAAGATATTTAACTTAAGACTTTAAGCTACAAATATTAAAATAAATGGTATGCTTGAACGTCGTTCAATTATAAACTAGAGATCGTGGCATAAAGTTATATAACCAAGACTTAAAACATCACGTTCGTTTTCGTCATTATCTTATCTCTGATTAAAACTAGAGGACACGAGATTTTACTCTTCTTTCAGAAGATAAAAGGTCTATTAAGTGACATCGTTATATTTCAACCAAAAGCTTAGTTTCGACATGTATACATTATTTGCACTAACGTTTCTTGGAGCAATAGGTCTGTAATATTATCATATCTTTTCTTTTATTGTATTTTTTCAGTGATTTTAGTTAAATACTAGTTTTAAATTGCTTTTAAACTTATTTTGAGGCTGACTTTTTCGAAAGTTTATTTCTATTATAAATTTAAATAATATGTTTTAAATAAAATGGCATCACCTGAAATACAATCCATGAGCGGATCGTATATTGTATTTTATTAAAATCAAAATATTGAAAAATATAAATATATAAAGTGAAATTGAAATACTACCGGCCTCTTGTGTAAATGCTTTTTCACAAACGTCGGCGTGGCAATCTTCGGCATCGCCTAACACTGTTGATGGACATAATTGGTCATAAATCTCATATGTTCATTTCATAATTCCATTTTATTCAGTTCCCCCATTGTTTTTCATTTAACCACGGTTTTCTTTAACTTCATCAAGATGCCGCTTTTAATGACATGACCCTAACGTGTTACATAAAAGGTTTCATGATGACCGCCGTATGAACACATCTACAGATGTTTCATAATTCAAAATTTCACCGTTTTCGTGTATTATGTCGAATATTTGGACACTGCTTTATCTGCTAAGATTTATTCCGAAATTGAAAATATGAGTTCATCACGCATATGTATAAAAATAGAACAGATCATCAAGTAAATAGAGAAAATAAGATTCCCTATAGAAGTTCCAAAGCATCAAAATTGAAAATGTTGCAGGCTCGGTTTGATTGAGCCTGTTCATGGACGGAACTGTCAAGTGCAAACTACCGTCCACGCCCCTTAGCACCTGCTTAAGCAGAATTCAACATTTAAACATGAAACCCTACCTCATCTGCCTTTCATCATTAAACTTTGCCTTGTGTCCTGTCTTTGTTTTGTGTCCTGCGGGGCTCTTTGTCCGTGGTCCTGTGATGCTCGGTCGTTTGGGTGTTGCGTTCATTGAACGCCGCCCTTCCTTGTTGATCTTGTTCATATTTTGCTCATATTTTTTACATTGCAGGTATTGCTCTCAGTGTAAGATGTCACGTGACCTTTGACGACAAAGAGCTTCATTGTGGAGATTCAACAAACATGACTTGTTCATCAAACAACTACATACCTTATTGTCATCAAGTAAGCACCGACCCAAATGTACAAAATAACGGAATTTGCTCGTGTGAGAAATGTAAGCATGGCTTTTATCGTACTAAAATTTAAAACTATACAGTTGTCTCAGTTGTCGTCATTACCATTTTTTTAATACATTTCGTCGGGTCTTTACGTGGCACCAACACAGTTTAGGTCATATGGCGATAGAGGAAGCTTTCAGATTCCTTTAAGGCACGAACGAGCACATGAGTAGATTCACTGACATAAGCTGGCTGGATAGCTTCTCCACATAAAAGAATTCTAAGTCCCTATTGGGATTCGAGGGGCAAGTGGTTTGAAGTCAAGGAACTTAACCACTCGGCAACGGACACTCCTTGATAATTACCTGCTAATTTGTGGCCTAGTGCTGATGTTACAGTTGATTTAGGCATACCGGCACAATTTAAAATGATATTTAAAGCGGCCTTTACCTTTTCTAAAATCTAAATATGCTATTGTTTTTGGTGGTTGATTTTGGTACACTTAACGCGTTGCGTTGTCGATAGCATCCTGTCGCTAGAGATGCACGCCAAACGGCGTGTTGTCGTGCAGCACGATGTCTTGGCTTATACACAAATAGCCAATCCTTCGATTTGAGCTAAGCGACAATGTGACATCGCGCCGTTTGGCGTGCATCAATAGCGACAGGACGACAAGACGAAAGTGCGACAACAATACGCTCAAAAGTGTTCCAAATCAGCAACCAAAATTGTTAGATAAATTGACTCATATAATTTGCCATCGATAGAATACAAGAAACAACAAGAAAACACTTCGATGCCTCTAATCTACCGGTCCAAATCAGAAAAACTGACGATTCGTGTCCTTAGAAACGAACGTCACTGGCGCCCTATAAATATCACTCGGGAAGTTGTTTTGAATAAAGACAAGCAGTGATATGATGCACTGTTTTTAAGATGAAATTAATGAAAAACAAAGTTTGAAACAACAAATTATTGCTCTTTCAACAAAAAATAAACCCCGAAGGCCGCTTTAAACGAAGTATTTGTCTACCTATATAATCAATATAATACTTATACAGATGCCGTGGTTTCCCCGACATAAAAATATCCAGTTTCCGTCGTATATGTGTATATAACTAGTAAAACTATAACTAGTAAAACTTTACTATAATATTGAAATAAAATGCAATTTAGAGAACATATCACAATGTATAAACTGTTTTACATTTTACCACTTTGCACTCAGTTAACAGAGAGTGCGAATTTTTGCTCTCGATGATTTTTGAAACTTTTCGAATTCATAACAAGATGGTACTTTTTGACACTTTTGTAGTTTGTTTTGTGGACGATGAGTGTGGTAAAGGATGCGGAACGAAATTTGTTGGCAAATGCGTAGAAGTCTATCCCGGTAGTATAGAGAAAATATGCTTATGCAAAAGCAGGTAGATCTATTTTCTATATAATTAGCTTAAATAAAATGCATAATATTACAAGGGATATATAAATGCTGGACATCATTGTTATACTCAAAGGATTGATAAAACAGAAATATCTTGAAGATAATTATATAATGTGTAATTGGTCAAGCATTACAAATAAGATAAATATTATCCATATTCACCACTTGATAAACTGATTTACAAGTGTTGTTCTTTGAAGATAAGCTAAATCACATAATTTATTCTCTTTTCTCTTTCAGAGTATAGAGTACAAGACTCTTAAACTATTGTTATTCCTTACCTGTTTTGATTAATAAAGAATGAAATTGACAGACCCAGTAAAATTTACACAAGACAGACTCGACTTGTTCCTTTTTTGCGTTCAATGGACTTCATTGTGGGTTTTGACACATGATGGGAGTAAAAAAATCCCAATTTGTCATAATTTGTGTTTTTATATTAAGTATATTACATGTTATCATACTTGAATGCCTTGTCAGATCTATTATAGTATGTAATCCTTTAGAAAGCATGTATCTATTTTCGTTATTATCTGTATTTAAATGTAGGGACCTCTCACAACACTATAACTATTGTCATATTTGACACAAATGTGGCATAGAGACTACCATTTAAAGGGATTCAACTCAGGTTTTTATTTGTTTGGGTCGTCAGACCAAACAAATAATGGTAGCAAAATTTCAGAGCCTAATGCTGTTAATTGCAAGTGCCTAAAGTAGTCCGCTTTTTTGAAGCGATTACTTCCCTTTATATGTACACTAACGCTGAAAAATTCAGGGGAGATCAATACGTAAAGATTGTCAAATGACAGGCGCATTAATTTTCAAGCAAAGTAGTTCCCGAATGGTCGAAGATTTCTAATATTGTTTCATTCTTTATAGATATACATGCTTATAGTAAGCTCCATGATTATTTACATCTGTGTTAAACAACAGGTTTAGCGTCGAAATAATAAGAGTTACAAACCCTTATTTAGAGTAATATATTTTTCTTCAGGCCAGTAACATATAAATTCACCGTGGCCGAGGGGTTTGCACGCTCGCTTATGAATCCAGAGGTCTTGATTGGGTCAAATGCCAGTTGAGGCAACTCATTTTTTTAAGTCAAATAAACATTGAATTGGCTATCAGTGTTGCAATTAGTCTTATAGCCAATTTACTACAGTTATAACACTGGAAAGTATTGGTGGCACTATACAAAAACAAATTGGTTTATAATCTCACAACCTTCACCTTTCTGACATTTTGAGACCCAAACAAATTCAGCGCCTTCGGTGCTTTGATTTTTTGTGTCGGGACTAAAGATATTTCTCGGAGATTTGTGCACAAAGTTATGCAGGTCTGGACAAATAACTTGTTTTCCTTTTTTCAGGTCATTCCCTCACCTTGTTTTTTTTTCATAATAAGCATTTATATTTTGCAAATGACCGACACTTTTCACTCAGAAATTCAGCATAGAATCGAACGCACAAAAAATCGATACTCAATTCAATTTTGAGTTTTCCAATTTAAGTGCGTCAATTGATATTTTTCAGATTTTTGAAATTTAAGCTATTTGCGTAGTCCGTTCTTGAACTATAAAAGATAAACAATGGAGAATTCTGACTTCATATACATAAAGACAATATTACGACGAATATGATTATTGACAATAAGTAATTAAAGCGGCGGCGGCGAATTATTATTTAAATGCAAAGTGGAAACAGGCAGTAGAGCAATATTTTATATAGCTTCACCCCTCCCCCATGGTAAACATAGTTCCTTTTAATTCTGTATTTCGTTTTTTTTGTTCATAAATGATTGCCTCAAGCCAATCGTTTTCTTACTGGATTAATACATTACCAGTAAGGGGGCAGGGGACCTAAAATGAACAATTTTATATTTCAGTGTGGCCAGAAACACAATTCCAAATATTTCAAAGTCTGTTTCACAGCCAGTTGCACAGCATTATTCAATGATATATGACATACATTGAAGAAAATGATAGCTTGACTGACAGCAATTTATATTTACCCCCACCAAGCCAAAATCACACCTAATATATACCAATATGAGCAATCTTCATGAAGGTGCAGCATACTCCAGAATCCGCCCGATTCCTTTAAAAATGTCACTAACACACAGTGCAAGCAATGGCATTTTCAAAAATGGCCAATAAAGTGCCTGTCATACGTTTAGATTTTTCACAAAATTTATCCGAAATTTTTTACGTGTTTGGTGCCAATTGTCAAAGCTTGATTTTTAGCTTTTTCATCTCCAGTCGGAGAGTCACAAATACATGAAATACATACAAATCTACCAAAATGCTTAGTTTCGGGTTAAAAACCCAAAAATACTTCTCATTTCCTACACACAAATAAGAAAGTACAATGAAAGAGAAATATCAGAAGTTTCCAGTACCTTCAAAACACCATGTCTGAGTTATTAAAATATTTGACCGGGGCCATCATTCGGATATGTCCCCTGCCCCCTTAGTTAGTAAGGTTTATAACATAAGTTTGTTTAAACTGAAAGGGAAGTAATAGTTTAATGTATAGTAACATTCATGATCATAAGAGTTAACGTTTGTAGTAACAAATCGGTTGAATCATGTTTGGGGCATTTTGTAAATCCCAATGTTCGGAGTTAGATACACTTTTGAAGTACGGCACACAGCCTAAAGAAAACTAAGAATAGTACAAACATGAAAACAGTCGGAAATACATTAGTAGCCCCTCTTTAGATCACTCCACGCCTTTTTTTAATATCGTGATTTTTATTTTTTAAGATGTTGAACTTTATCTTATTAATACGTATAATAACATAATATTTATCTTATTAATACGTATAATAACATAATATTTCATTCTGACGCTTCGAAATTGGTGAAGTTAGCAGCCTAGCAGGATAGTACAAACATGAAACGGTCGGAAATGAATTGGTAGCACATACTTAGACCATTCCACGTCTTATTTCAGTATCGCGATCTTTATTTTTTTAAATATTGAACTTTGTTTTCTTTTTTATTTTGACGCTTCAAAATTTGTGAAGTTAGCAGTCTAGCAGCCCTTTATGTATATAGTAAATACTTAAAAAATCTAAATTTAAGCAATTTTTGTAAATGACTGCCAAATGATCATTTCAAGTTGGACTTGATTGGTTCTCATTATCATCTTTTTGTTGGCAGAAATATGTTTTGATAATGATCTGTTCTCATTATCAAGTTTACCACTTTTGTTGGCAGATATATATTTTGATACACTATCTTAAAGGATTCTCCTATTTACATTGAAGTAGTTTATATGTAGTGTTATCTAGAATAAATAAATAAATTTGATAATGAGTACCAATCAAGTCCATCTTAATAAATCTCTACAGAAATTATCGTTTGGCAGTCATTTACAAACATTGCTAAAATTGTTCTGGTCTGCTGAACAAGATGGCTGCCATAACTAAAATTGTAAAGGGATTTGAAAGACTGTATGATATTTAAATTGTCAAAAGCATTTAAAGTGGTTATAAATTTTTTATCTTTCGTTGTTGTATGTAACATAACTTTTCAAACTATTCTCTAATGATACTAGTAGTTAAAGCAGTTTTGTATTTTATATCGAAGTCAAAATACCCCTCTGTTTGCATTTTGCTAGTTTTATGACAAATAATTATATATTTGAAGTTAAGTGGTACTTATTTCAGGTAACAAGCATCTTATATGCTTTAACACTATTATTTAAACATAATAAAACACATGCTTGTTCTTACTAAAGAAGGAGAAACTTATTCATTTCAGAGGCATATGTGCTTTAAGAAGAAAGTTTTGGCCTTCAATACACATTTAAAATTCTTAGCTGCCTCATTTATCAAATCATAAAAAGAAGATTCATTTTGAATGACGTTGTAAAGTTTTGGTTGTCATGGCGACAAATTACTTTAAATTCAGAGTTTTGGTGATAAACAAAATAGCTCTATTCATCAACAGAGGCTAATATCGGTTAAAAGAATAATAGAAATGTATTAAAGACAGTCATCAAGGTTGATTTCCATAGACTGGACATCAAGCCCAAAAGTTAATTAAACTAGCAGTAAATATTACGTGCACCCTAAAGGAAAGAACCTTAGGCATAACCACATGTTGAACGTCAGTCGTCATAAATAACACATGTTTTTATTTCAGGTTAACAAAAGCAATTTACGCGTTTTTTTTTGTTTTTGTTTTTTTTTTTTTGCTTTAAATTTATAGTTTTTTTTATACCGCCTTCTTCTCTATTCATAATTAACAATTCAGAAGTTGATTCAAGAAAAGGTATCCATCTAGAAGACGTTATTGACAACAACACTTTGATCGACATAATTCTGGTTATACACATAAGAAAATAACATGAGGTAATATTTGACGCAAAGGTAAAAAGATATAACAAAGAATGAAGATTTGACATCATTTTATTGTAACAAGTTATAACAGTAATGTTTTAAACTCATTTGTCTAGACATCATACCCTTTCCCATCACGTACTGTAAAGACAATAAAGTATCACAAATTAATACAAAAATAATAGTTTTTAAAGTAAACTGCGCAATAGTTTTAACCCTTTACCTGTTATATATCTATAATGGATCTGTCCAGCTTTGAATTTGTAACAGTCCCTTCAAAGTTCAATATTAAAGACAAAACGTGAGCTGCCAGCGTCAGACTTTTGTTTCCAGCTTGCTAAGGGTTATGATTTAGATTTGTTACATTATATGATTTCTATGTGCTTGGTATCAAGTTGTTTGAAAACGCACAGTACGTTTCATTTTGCTTTCAAATAAGAAGTTTATATCTAATTAAAGCACACCCACAGTAAACCATGTTTAGACTTTTCTTGACATAATCATTGTGTAAATATAAATTATATGGTGGGTAGGTAGGTAACTGGTGATTGTAATGTCTAAATTAAGCTGCACGTTTTAAGAATCATACACTTAACTGAAAATTATGAAATTGTTTAAAAATGGTACATGTTTAATATTCTGTCAAGTCAAAGTTTAAGTTATATACATTGCACACAACATTTTGTCAAGTCAAGTCTGAAAGTAATATACATTCCGCATAAAACACCTAATAATATATCATAATTTGCCATAAAACTCCTTATCCAGGAGCGAAAACTAAGTTGAAAAAGTAACCATGAAGAAAAATGTGATAGATTAATGAATTTATTCGAATTTGTCATAAACCTTGTAAATTGCCAAATGGTTCAAATGTGTTCATAAATCAATTTTCTTTTTCAAAGTAGTTTGATTATTTAGCATATATACTTGTTTCTGGAGTGATACGGGTTTAACAATTTGTTTATATCACTTCAGAGTAAACTTTGCACAAGATTATTACACACTGTGGACAATAAACTTCTCAGTATCACATTTCCTTTTTTTGAGACGAATAACAAACATGGAAAAAACTTAGATAGAGCAAGCCCATTACCAACACATATTGTGTGCATTCTAACGGAAAGAGCTGTTCTGTTTTTTTTCATAAGTTTTGCATAATTGTTTGGTGTTTGCAATACCCGAACTATGCAAGGAAATTTACGTGTATCTGTTTTCAAAAATAGTTGAAAAAAGTGTGTAATACATCTAAAAAAAACACAAGGTAAATATTGTTCAGGAAATAAGTGTACCTTATTTCACACAAGCAGATCTTCTCAATACTCAAGTGATATCCTTCTAAACATTTTCCGACGTAAGGGGCCTTGCATCCTTGCGCACATTCCAAGTCCGTAAAACAAACTTTATTAAAGAGAAAAGTAAAACAAATCTTAAGTCTGAAACCTAATTAAGCAAACATCGATATATCTTATCAAGCATTATTGAAATAACGAGATAAGTATTCCTTATACATGTACTATTTAATCAAACATTTTTTGATTTATTTGATTAAATGTATTTTTTAATTATATTATAAAGAAAAACTTGGAAAAGTTCATGAATCATAACTTAGATCCTGTTAGACAGCTAAGTGGTTCAAAAGGCTTTGTTCTATTTTGGTGACAAAAGCTTGTCATTTTCGGTTCTAGCAAAGTAATTGTGAAGCATATAATGATTTTTTATGATTAACATTATGTTATCTAATTCAGCATATTAATTAATTAAACGTACATTTCTCACAAGAGCAAACCCCATTCATTTGCACAGCCGGGTCTGTAGTAAACTGGGTACAATGAGGAATATGTGCAACCCCTTTACAAGACATGTTAAATGCGTTCCCACAATCTAAATCAGTCACATCATTGTTCACGTGACACCGGTAACATAGAACGTCGTCTGTGAATGAAAAATAACATAATTTTAATAATTTGAATAATAACTTTACTTTCCTGTCAGTATACCTGAGACATTTACCATCAAATTATTTTATAAATTACTGAAATAAGCAGATGACAGTGTTATTTTTACTTAAGAAAATTTATTTTAGGCAAGGAAATATCACTCAAACTAGATTGTCTGCGTGAAAGAAAAAATAAAATAAAAACACTACAATCATCCTTTTTTGAGATTCAAAATTATTTAATATTTTAACAAATTAAACAAAATAGTATATCACTACAATCATCCTGTTTCGAGATTCAAAATTATTTAATATTTTAACAAATTTTCCTCAACACCTCAGAATGGAAGTGAATTATGACCAATTTAAACGTTTAATTGGTACATGGAATGGAGAGAGTTGCTCATGTACTTTCTGTCAATAAACCTGCATTATAGCTTAGCTCCATCTTCAGTTTTGTTTCTTGCCTGCTTTCATTTGTTTTGCTGCTTAATTACATGTATCTGTTTATTTCACATTTGGATTAAATTTTGTTAATAATCTCAACTTAAATGTTTATGTACATGTATTATTTTTCAAGTGTGCTTGAACTTTGTTTGCTTATTGTCAGCTTATTGCGAAGTTTGTTTATTGAGGAGGCTGCTGATCACTTCTGGCACATTTTGAATTGGGGGTTTTTTATTTATAAAACCTAATTAGTGGTCACATTTTGTGATCCTTTTCATTTTCAATATCTTATTTCCTTTCTTTTATAGCAGTCCAGTCTAGGCCTGGGTCAAGATCAGCAGAATCCACCCACTTTTAATGTAATCTTATTTTATGTATGTGCTTATATGTTCCGCATTTTTATCTAGATATGTATTATTTTATTCACTTATGATACAGTATAGATCTTTTAAGCATATCCTTAGCATATCATTACTATTTATTAATTGTTATCATTTTACTTTAAACTATAACATTTAGTGTCTACATCCCACATTATAGTAATTTAACTTGTCTTTTACCATTTGTCTTTCAAAGTTTATCTTAATGTGCTTCTTTTATGAGTTTTATGTTTATATGCATGTATGTCGGTCAAAAGCTATACATAGCTTATGTTTTGTAAAATGTTATATATGTATACCGACAATAAATAAATTTTGATTTGATTTGATTTGATTTGATTTGAACAAAAGGTTGATAAACATAGGCTATTTTTCTGACAGGTAGATTTGCTGGGGTCAATCATTGAATGTCCCTCCCCAACTCTACCTTCTCCGCCCTTAAGCTTTCGTCATGAATTAGCTTAAGAAAAGATGATTAAATACTGCTAATTGTTCATCCATTTAAATAAATACTTGTTTTTAACTACGACAAAATAGTATATCGCTTAGTATAACACCTTTTGTTTAACTACAATTTTTTAAACTACTATGCAAAAAAGTGAATTATGTACAACATTGATTTGTTCGGAGATACTTTTGATATTCCTTGAATATCAAAAAAATAAAACAATTGTAGAGAAATTAATGAATGAACTTACCAATTTTTACCAGACATATTATGGCGAGAAACAAATATATTATTTCAGAATAATATTTCATTGTTAGTCCTATAAGTAATATTGTCTGTAGTAAACACTCGGCGTTTTACATGTTCATAAAGATAACACTGTAACAAATCGTGACAGAAATGTTACAACCTTTTCATACTTTTATCTCCCGATGACTGATACCACCATTATTATTGCTTCCAAATGCAAATAAAAAAACTTGAAGTGTTTAATGATTTAGTTCAAGTTATTATGTTGTTGTTGTTTTTAATTATATACACTCCATGCCATGTACGATTGTTGTCTGACTTTCGTATAGCCACTAATCAAAGAATGAATAAAGATCATTAAAAAAATACATATAAATTTCTCTCGAATTGTGACTCAAACATTTTGTATAGTATATCGTTTTTGCCTTGAAGACCGGAAACGCGTAAAAATAATAATGCTTTCTGCGTTGTAGACAGTTAAATACGCGTGCGCAATGATGACACAATACCTCATTTAATTTTATGTTGCGTCTTTTCCAGTAGTTGGCTGACTGGATATCCTGGATGATATAAATATGATCCGAGTTCGAGGCGCTTGAATGCATCATAAGTAATTCTTTGTACTTTTTAAAAGATACAAAAGTGTATTTATTAAAGGGTTTATTGCTTCTAAAGATTAAAGTACTGGTACTGCAGTACTGAACAAAAATATAATAATGGTACTGATACTTCATAAGTTGACACGTATTGGTACTGGTACTAAAATACTATACCCTTAGTATTGATATGTCTGGTATTTATAAATGTATGAAATGACACAGAATGTGATAATTTAGCAAAGAATCAAATAATCATTAAAACGATAGGGATGTTGTACTTTAACATTATCCCCATGCAACTATTTTTGTGATTTCGTTGTAATAATTGCTTCCGAGGGATCACTCTTTCTCCACACTCTTTCAGTGATTCGGGATCACTGATTCCAACACTTTAAAGTGTTAAAAAAATTGAGCACCGCTCAAGCTGGTAAGGGATGTTAGCTTCATGTACAAACTCAATCAAACAGCTGCTAATGTTGTTTTTTATTGTTGTTTTTGGGGGTTTTAAGGCAATAAGTGCAGCCTTTTTTCTGCGATAATTCTTCTATCCTATTGTTTTTTTAGTAATTGTGCACCTAAATAACTCGCGTGTTCTTCGCGTGTTCTTCCAAATCTTTATATTGTATTCACAATTAACGTTTGAAATGGTTTTTGCTTGACATTAACCAAGCTTTTAACATTTCTATAGTTTGTAAAGGGAACACTACGCATACAACGATGATTGTCTTCAGATATATGTCTAGGACGCTACTGTTAACTATGTACAAACATAAAGCTGTATTGGTTCAAAAGGGCGTTGAGTGTTTTTTATGTTTAAATTTTACTAGTGTCTTAACAATCACAAACTACATAATAACCCGTATCTGAAAGGCCAAAAGATTAGAATTCGATTTCAACATTTGTTCTATTAGTGCATTAAATACATTTGTCAGAAAGCACGGCCAGTGTAAATATATACAGTGTCTCCATAATAACCCCCTCTTTTTTATTAAGAATATTGACTCCCTGGTTATAATTTTATATTATGTATAGTATCACTATAAGAAGAAAGTGACTTTGAAGAAGAATTAAATAATAAAGCTATGGTAGAGCTAAATGATCCATGGAAAACAATGTAATAATGGCAAAATGACCCTGCCTCACAGCAGCCGCATGTTTTATTTGTAATGAGAGGTCTAAGGCAATTATTATAAACATATCAAAACAATTTTAACAGTTTCCGTTACGGTAGTGGGTTATTTTAAAATCTGTTGTGTGAATTGATATTAATCCAACATTTTGACAATTATTAAAAAAGAAAAATATTTTTTTAAAATATTACTCCTAGTATAGGTTAGAGTGCATATTGGGTGTTCTTCGTAAATAAGAAAGCTAAAAAGGAGCGGAGCTTGCGAAGCGACTGTAGCTTTCTTATTTACGAAGAACATCCAATATGCACTCTAACCGGCTTAGTGCTCCGCCCATTTTTTCCGCCCAACATACTGTGTGACGTCACACGATAGCCTAAATGTGTATAACCATATTTGGAAGTCGGTAGCGGTACACATTTTCGGGTCACGATTTTTGCATAGGATAATTCCCGCATTCTGTCTAGGTAAATAAGACAATATCACGGTGCATATCCATATCGGTACCCTCTTTGCGAAATATTCTCAAACGGTACCCTCTTTGAACATGCACAGGTCATTCTCTGCTAAAAACAAACCAGCGATGGATAACAATGCAGTAAAGTTTCATTGTAATAAGAAAAGGAGGTATGACACGTAGCAAAGATGTATACCACGGAAAACTAGAATGTTTTATTTATGTGCTGATTTGTCATGTGGCCGATTTTCATGTACTGCAACTTCACAATAAGCTACAAAAAGTCGACATGTCTTGCCTCGCCCGTCACCTCGACTTATTTTTTGGGCTGAAATGAACCTGTGGCTTGATTATATATGCATCTGACATACATATTTAATATATTCATATACATATCATCTGAACTTTTTATTTGGTAATTATAAAATGATACTGGTTCCGTAAGTAATAATCAAAACATTTTTACTGTTATTTTGCCTGTTTTCATTTCAATGAACGTCTTTTTTTAATTCTATGCCGTAGTGACGATATACATGTCACATGTATATCGTCACTACGGCATAGAATTAAATTTTATGCATCATGTTTTTTCCGTACACGCACATGATGTGCGTGTTCGGAAAAAACATGATGCATAAATTTTTATATTGATTAGTAGGAGGAATAAACTTCAAGATCTCTGCACATGCGTATATTGCACTTAAGCGCTCTTCGAAACTTAGCTCCGCCCACTTGCGTTTTATAATATAAAACGTCCAGTTTATATAAAATCTGTTCTATTAAGATTTGAAACCTGACAATTTGAAAAATCCTCCTCGGTGATTGGCTTAAAAAAATTGGCGAGCACTAACATTGAATCCTTGAAGAAAACAAAAGTTTAAAAAAAACTATCACCCACACTTCAACGTTGTTTTCGTAAAATTGATCCGCTGAGAGGAGATTACGGCCAGTATTCTTAATATGTTATCTTGAGCAAAATACACAATTGAAGTCTAAAAGAAATTGCAGTAATAAAAGTGGATTGATCGATTTGATTGCACAACAAACGCGTGGATAGCATGCTCAAGGTTGGATCAGTGGGAATTTAGTAGTTGACTGACACGTGACATGATATAGCGAAGGACAGTGAAATTTCGTTATGTGAAAACTCGATTATTTTTCCAATTCTAGTGATTATATAAATCTTTTTTCTTAAATCCATGATATAGTGAAGCACAGTGAAATTTCGCTGTGTGAAAACTCGGTTATGTTTTACAATTATAGTGATTATATAAACCTTTATTCTTAAACTCAAAGTAATCCTTGAAGGTCAAATGTCAATTTCAAGTCTGCTCTGTAAACCCTAAACCCCCTTTTTATCTTTAAATATTGCTTAAAAGTTCACCCCAACAAAGTCAGAGCCAATGTATCGGTGCTTATATTGTTTAATTTGGTATTGGCTAAACATAAATGGGAAAACATCTGAATAGTTCGACTGGAAAGAGTAATTTTTATACAGGGGTCATCAACAACACGAGTTAAAATGGCGGTAACAGTGAAGGTCAGACTGGTCTAGCTATAGTTTTAAACTGGCACGAGAATTGAACGCTCAGGTTTGTGTATCTACCCCTTCAGTTGGTAAGACACCAAGTTGAAACAAGCCTCAAGTTGTTTAAGTTTTTTTACCCCTTCATGAAAATTATTTGTTTTCCTTTTTATAAATACGTTACATTTTTTTGTATGCAGGAATGTTAAATAGAGCCATGTCATGTGTTAATTTACAAAGATATATCACTACTTTTATGTATACATATGTGTTCCTTAAGAAACTTGAGTTAATTGAGAATCAGTCAGTAGTTTAAATACATTAAATGAAATATGTTTATACAACTGATTCATCCTTTATTAGGCCTTCAGAATCCCATTCCTCAGCATTTTTGTGTTTTGCCACATTATTTGGCTATTGCTGTTAAATGTATCTCATATGGCTGGTTATTGGCGCGAAACACGAAGTTTGAAAACAAAAACAACAACAACAGTAACTTGGACTGTTTTAAAAAGATTCAAAGTAAAAGTAATTCAGGTATTAAGTCATCATTGCGGTGTAACTTTAAACTTTTTATTGAAGTTAAAAATGTAGTATACAAGTAGAGATCAGAAAGCGAAAATAGACTTTTTGCGCACGCGTAGTTAACTGTCTATGACGCAGAAAACATTATAATAAATTATTCTTACACGTTTCCGGTCTTCACGGCATAAAAGACATACAAAGTGTTTAAATCACAATTCGGGAAATTGATATGTATTATTATAATGATTTTTGTTCTATTCAATATATGCAAGTCAGAAAATTACTGGACAAAGTATTGAGTGTATATAGTTAAACAAAACCCTAAATACTTGAACTTAAGCACTTAATACTTTAACTTTTTGTTATTTTCATTTGGTAGCAATACTAATGTTATCGGGAGATAAACATATGCAAAGGTTGTAACATTTCTGTCACGATTTGTTGCAGTGTTATCTTTATGAACATGTAAAACGCCGAGTGTTTACTACAGACAATACTACTTATAGGACTAACAATGAAATATTATTCTGAAATAATATATTTGTTTCTCGCCATAATATGTCTGGTAAAAATTGGTAAGTTCATTCATTATTTTTCTCTACAATTGTTGTTTTTAATATTCACAGAAGAGAGTATCTCCAAACAAATCAATGTTGTACATAATTCACTTTTTTTGCATAGTTGAAAAAAAAATTGTAGTGAAACAAAAGATGTTATACTAAGCGATATACTATTTTGTCGTAGTTAAAAACAAATAGATTTATTTTATGGATCGACAATAAGCAGTATTTAATCATCTTTTCTTAAGCCAATTCATGACGAAAGCTTATTTGAACTTAAGGGTGGAGGAGGTAGAGTGGGGGAGGTGCATTCTATACTGAGATCCTCTTCAATGATTGACCCCAGCAAATCTACCTTTCAGAAAAATAT